GGCGATACAAATGAATGTCATCACAAGTGGTTTTTACACTTTCTTCAGCAAAAGCGATATAGATACATACGGCTCGATTTACGAAGAATATTTCCATCCATCTAGTCTTTATGAAAATCGACTCTTATACGATGATGACAGCTGCAATCAAGATCAGTTTGGATTCATAATCGCTCTTGAATCTAATATTACATATGTATTGGTTGTGGCAGCGTATGACATTAATACGATAGGTGCATTCTCGATCTTTGTATCTGGTTCAGACATCGTTGTTCTCAAGAATATGAGTAAGTATTTGCATTACATCTATTGACTGGATATTCGTCAATTTTAACATGAGTATTTAGTTGAGTTTGGCATATCCACAAACAAAGACTAGTTTTGTAAGATGGCATTTGTACTATCAGTAGGGTACTGCAAAGTGGTCCCGGTCCCAGTCCCGTCGGGACCGGGACCAAGACTAAAATTGCCAGATAATTCCTCAATGTTTTTATCAAGTATGAGACCAGACATTTTTTTCTTTTTTTTTTCTTTAATTAAAAAATGGCAAATGTGTTATTTTATAGTTCAAGAAAAACCGTATAGATTGAATTTACAATCGAAAAAGCGAGAATTTTTGTGAACTTCATATTTTTTTGCATAAATGAAGACAACACCAGAATTATTCTTAAGCTTTTATTAAGACTAAGACCACCGAGACCGGGACCAAAGAAAATGATTTTGCAGTTCCCTAACTATAAGACGACCGTTTATGCAAACAGCTACAGTAACCTGATCAAACAACAGAATATTATGAATAGTATCCGAATAATTTCTCTTGAATTCAAGCTTGTTACAATTGATTCTTAATGTGATGGGTGTGGGTGTTGATGTGGATGTGAGTGGTTGAGGATGAGTGTGAATGTAAATATTAAATTTGTCCTACACCCACACCCGATATCGCAAAGTACTCTGTACCATCTCGAAAGTGAGAGTATACTGACATTCATTTATATCAACATTTATATCATTTTCATTTGCCTTCGGTAAATGCATCTGAGATGAGAAAATAAAATTTCAGATTATTTACACTTATTTTCATGTGACACAAAACTAATTTTAGCTTCTTTTTCCTTAGTAACTACTTCATCAGTTGTTCAAACAACTTATGCATCAGAATTGACAATGAACAGTCCCACGTATTTCCTTCAGTGTTCAGAGTCAAGGACTTACTATGAGGCGATACAAATGAATGTCATCACAAGTGGTTTTTACACTTTCTTCACCAAAAGCGATATAAACGCATACGGCTCTGTTTACAAAGAATATTTCGATCCATCCAATCCAAATAAAAATCAACTCTTTGTACACGATAAAAAATACTGTGGAGGATATCAATTGACATTCACAACTGTTCTTGAGTCTAGTAATATATATGTATTGGTTGTGACAGCATATAGCATTAATGTGACAGGTGCATTCCCGATCTCTGTATTTGGTCTAAATAATGTTCTTCTCAAGAATATGAGTAAGTATTTTCACTGAAACTAATGACTAGATATTCGTCAACTTTAACATGAGTATTGAGATGAGCTTGGTATATCTACAAACAAAGACTTCTTGTGTAAGATGACTTTTGTACTATAAGACGAAAGCTTTACACAAACACATACATCGGGTTCATCAAATAATAGAATACTATGAATCGGATCAGGTCAATCTCCTTGCATACAGATATGTTCCAGTCGATTCCTATAATTTGATGGTTGTGGATGTAAGATAAATCTGATATCCACACTTCATATTACAAAGTGTCTTCCACTATCTTGAAAGTGAAAGTATAATAATCCCCAATTATATCAACATTTATATCACCTTCATTCGCTGTCGATAAGTTCATTCGAGAGAATAAATCAAATTCCAAACTGTTTACACTTATTTCTATATGATACAAAACTGAATTGATTTTCTTTTCTCTTAGTGAATACTTCATCAGTTGTTCAAACAACTTATGCATCCGAATTGACAACGAATAGTTCCACGTATTTTCTTTTGTGTGCAGGATCAAGAGCTTTCTATAAAGCAATACAAATGAATGTCATTACAAGCGGTTTTTACACTTTCTTCACCAGAAGCAATATAAACGCATACGGCTCTATTTACAAAGAATATTTTGATCCATCCAATCCGAATGAAAATAAACTTTTATACGATTTTATAATATGCAAACCAAGTCAGTTCGAATTCGCAACTGTTCTTGAGTCTAGTAATATATATGTATTGGTTGTGACAGCATATAGCATTAATGTGACAGGTGCATTCCCGATCTCTGTATTTGGTCTAAATAATGTTCTTCTCAAGAATATGAGTAAGTATTTTCACTGAAACTAATGACTAGATATTCGTCAACTTTAACATGAGTATTGAGATGAGCTTGGTATATCTACAAACAAAGACTTGTTTCGTAAGATGATACTCATACTATAAGACGAAAGCTTTACACAAACAGCTACATTAAATCTATCAAATACCAGAATATCAAGAAAAATAGTCGAAGAATTTCTCTTGAATTTGAGACCGTTCCAATCAGCTAATCTGATGTGAATAATATACAAATCAACAAGAATCTCTATTCGTGACCAGGAGCTGAAAAATCTTTGCTGCTTAACCTAACATATCACATAATGTTCCTATAATAAAAAACTGCTGCAAACATTTAAATACCACTTATCATAAACAAAAAATATTTACATATGTTTACTTTGTGTAAATCTAAAAGACATGTTTACATACTTTAATTTATGAATAAATTACAACAGTAACAGAATTACACTATAAATAACGAATTTTTCCTATATCAAACGTTGGGACATTATCAATTTTCGGAATAAAGAAGTTATT